GAAGTGATGGTGAAGAAATGCAAGCAGCTGAGCTTTCTCCCAGCGAGGATATATCCTGACTGGACGCTAAAGATGCCATGGCACCCAGTTTTCGATCATAATCCGTGTTACGTGGTTTAATCCTTGCGGGTTTAAACCAAGTTGACGAAATTTTAGCGCATTTGACGGGGCGCCTAGTTTATAATTGAACATTGTTGCAAACACGCAGGCTGCCTGAGACATAGAGTTTCCTAAAATTAACTAGAGGGCACTCTGGCGCTGCGATCGTCCAGCGACCATGGGAATGATGGGTAGTACACACATTTGCCTAGTCTTCGTACTTGCGGGCGGCGAATCGTACTTGCGGCTTCGTTTATTGCTGGTTACGGTTTCGTTTTAAAGAAAAGAACGAAACCTTTTGAACTTCGTGGCCTGGTTTGAGAAGGTAAGCTTTAAAAAATAAAAGGTGGTGAAGCGCAACCACTAAACATTTGCGGATTTTATGCTTCGTGAGAAAACAGCTCCAAGCCACACGAACACAAACGAAGCCAGAAGCAGGCCAGAAGTACGAAGATTAGACAAATGTGTGTACTACCCATGATTCCCATGCTCGATGAAGCGCCGTGCGTTGCAGCTCCCGTAGACACTAGCGCCAGAGTTCCCTCTAGTGTATATTAAGAAACTCTATGGCCTGAGAGTCTGAGTTCACGGTGCACGCACGACACTGATGTAACATGCGACTAGCTGTGCGAGCGTCTGTACTCTAGCGAACAAAATTGGTCCGTGGTCAGCTGCGCGTGAGGTCGAGATAACTTTGCTTTTTCCAGCTTGGCACCGAAACCGAACGATTTGCAGCGACTGAAACTCGTTAAGAGACTGCATCTCCACTCTTTCCAACTGATGACGTCACACGTGTCATGGCAAAATTGCGTACGCCGGCGGTGGGCGGAGCTAACGGTCAGGCGACTACTATGATTGTTTTGCTTTGAAATATTCTTTTTGTGGCACACTTCTCATATCTTTATTGGGCATGATATTCCCTCTACATTTAGTCTTTCCTTAAAAGCACGAATATTTGGGTGACCGTGTCATGGCTCCTTTAAGCACAATGTGAGTTCGGGATGGTTTCAGTTTCAGGCAAAAGTCTATATTTGAAGGGTCAAATGCCGCAGGAAAGAGAGGAAAACACGAACCAGTGAGAAAAGAGGTGCTATCTATTTTTCTCATATTGCGTAAGAAAAGAAGGATGACAATTTTCAAATGAGAAACATATTTCGAAATTGGGACTTGATGGCAAACAATAAAAAGAGGTTTATGGTACGGTAATTATCCATTTGGCTTTAAGTCCCATGAATGAAGCAAGAAGCCTCATAGAAACAAAGTAAGAAAGGTTGTAGCAACTTTTGCACCTCTCTCTGATTATTTTAAGACACCTAATTCCTAGTTGTTAGCTTGCTTCGAACTGTGAGTGGTATTTGCCTGTAGATTCCTTTGGAGCATGACGCGTCTCCATGAACGTTGTTCGAATGCGGTCTGTTTCTAAACACCACTCTGCCGTTCATTCAACTCATTTCAAGATTGAAGATTTTACGGACGCATATTCTAGAAAAATGTAGACTTCAGAAGTGGCATATACTGGTGACGTTCATGAGTACCGACGCGCAATGTTAATGAGCAATCTTACTGTACAATGTTGCTGAATTTTACAGGTTCCAGATTGCGGCCTCTCTAGACATGAGTTGTACATGTACGGGCAAAGGAAAATGTATTGGAATTCCGAAAAGATGCATAGACAAAGGCCGCATGTTGGGATTTGTGGTCTGGGTAGGAGTGGCGCGAATGTGCTCACGTGACTAGGTCATGTCGGAGCACTTGGTATGCTAAGCAAAGGAAAGCAAGCGCTATACATGTAGAGCTAAACAGTCTACGTCTACATGGTGTTGTGAGAGGATCACGTGTTCGTAGAGGGAACCGGTATCTAAGTGTACACTACAATGAACAAATTCAACGCTACTCAAGTGCAACGGTGAGTCTGTGGTGGTTTGTTTCGTTGCTGCAGTCAACTGTACCTAACCATCGCACCACATCTATGTCTACGGTAAACACTGAGCGAAAGAGGCTCTGTGAGGTCATACAGGCTCCACAAAATTTTGAATAAAAAGTAATTACCCAATGCTGTATCTAATCGAAAGATAATTGGGGACCATTGCGGATTGTTTTCGGTCACCGTCAAGAGGGGGAACCGCAACAGCCACGAGTGTACAGATGGCTATGGTACATTTGTTGTACAAAGAATCCATCTGTTGTACAAACAAGAATATGCAGTCTACCCGAGTACGCGCCACCTCAGAGATTCGCCCGCATACTCAAATGTGTCGCGCTTGGATTTGGAGAGCCACGCTTGTGGACACATCCCGCCATCTGCTGGGTAAAAACGTAGGCTCCGATATATAAGGCCTTTGCTATTTCCGCCAGGTCAATCTTGTTGCTCCGACTTTCTCGAAGCGCTGAACCTGTGGTGAGCTGGATGCGAAGCGCTCAGACCTCGCCTTGTCGTGTTCCAGTGTCAGATTTTGCCTGATTTTAGTCAATGCTTTGCACTAAGTAGTTAAAAGCAGCGCTGCAAAGTTAAGTACCGAGAAATAAAAAAAAAAACTGGACTTCGCTTTTCTGAATGTTATTCGCATTAGGCCGAAAGTGTAGCTCGTATTCGGCTTCACTTGAATGCTTCACTGCAGTCAAGTTGCAGTGTCCAGGTATGCTCAGAGCAATGAAGAGCGAGGGAGCTTTTAACTTATAGTTGTATAATTTAGGATTAGAACCACAGAGGTTAGGATAGGTGCTCGTTCGTTATTTCATGGGGTTAATACGCACCCATCTCTTTATGATGGTTAAACGTAAGTTTTATCTCTATTAAGACTCCTGCATTAACCGAGAACTGCCTCACTGTACAGCATAGTCAGCTGGAGACAGGCTTGAGATTTAGCTTTGCGTAATACACAACTCAAAATATCCGGCGGTTAAGAACACCCAGATGTGCACAAGAAGGATCACAGCGTTTCTTGAAACGTTTGACATGCTAACGATACAGCACAGAGAGCCTTTGGTTCTTTACAGAGCCTCTTTCCACTTTGCCTGTCACAAACACACACACACGACACAATGTTTTCTGTCTCACAAAGTGCCTGTTCCTCGCATCCTACGCGAGACAAAGGTCCACGAAAAAAAGAGAGAAACAAAATAGAGACAAGGTGCTGACAGGACACCTTGTGCGTCTGGTGCCGCCGCTACCACATGGCAGCGTAGCAGCGTAGCCACAGGTAAGTACCTCTAAACACCGAGAAGACACAGAACGTGGAGGGTAGGAAAAAGAAAGTATTAAAGGAAAATCAAGGAGTGAACGAAAAAAAAAACTGAGAAAGGCAGCAATCGATCTGAGAAAAAGGTGTTAGGATACAGCATTCAAGAAATCATGCGGCCAGCTCGTGCTCAAGGCCAGTGCAAGAAATGCAGACTACAAAGAAGAGGTGCCCCACGGTCAGTGCAAACACATGCTCATGGAACAGGCACCTCATTCGTGCGACTTGCGGTGTAACATTAAACATGCAGAAGCAAAAAAAAAAAGAGCATAAAGGAGTGTGCCAACCGTATTCGGTATCTGAGTTTCGACTTCGTCTTTCCGTTCCATACTGAAGACCGTTCCATACTGATTTACCTGTCTGGTTGTGGTGAGGCTGCCGCATGGAATGTCCCCCGTAGAGCTCTCAAGCGCATATTTGAATGGCCAGAGCGTGTATTGAGGGCATCACGCGGCGCTACTGAAGGGCTAACGTCTAAAAATTTGTCGCGGCGAATGACGGTCGAACAATTTTCCAACACGTCGAGGCGTACTGGCTAACAAATTTCTTGGATGTCCCGAAGATATGTCCAGTACGTTTCTCTCCCTGACCGTTGAAGAGGCGCCACTGAGTTTGTGACAAACATCTCTCATTAGAGATAACATTAGCTGTTTGAAGCCGAGTTGATACGCATTGTGCGAGAATAAATCCGACAAGTACATTCTGGCTCTTTAGAAATAGCTTATAAATGTGAAAACTATGGGCAAATATGTCTTTGTTTACACATGACTTATTACCTTAATTTTAAAAGTAAAGCACCGTGAAATGCCTAATGTTAACATATAAATACTATAATGTTGATCTGTGCAATACCTGCGCTGCCACATTTGTAAACGAAATTAACTTATATATACCTTCTTAGATGTAGAAAAAATTTTGAGGAATTTAAATGAGTGGCTTGGGTACCTAAGGCATGGTCGCTTAAGCATTCGCGTTGCTAGTACATATTTCGTGGACGCCAAAAATCCTGTATTCAGCAGCTGATCAATAAAGTTGGTACCACAATAAAGTGGTTACCAACCAAGCAGCCCATGTTGTACATTCGTAACGAGTCAACAGCTCTGGTTAGTCATAGATCTTCACAACACATACGCATCGTTTTACGTATTCTGTTCACTTGAGCTAAGCGACATACTTCAGGGTGAATCACACATTACCCTGGAGTATTCGCACAATTTGATTGACAAAGGTCGTAGCAGTTGTAGAAAAGTGAACTTGTTGATTCTGTCATTTCGAGCCACATGGGCGATGGCTCAATTAGTTACCAGAAGTGCTAAAGAACTCGAACTAATAACGACCATTCAATAAAATCGGCGAAACGAGTTTGTTTTGAAGCATTACAGATAAAGGTGTGTCACTGAAATTATCATTTGTTGTGCTTTGATAACATATGCTCATTAACACACGTGGCATAATTTTGCACGAAAAAGCAGACAAGACTAAAATTTGGATAACGTGACGTGGGGTGAGATTTCACTTCTACCAAATTAATATCTTCGCAGTAATGTTGACACACGGAAACATGAAAAGATCAGACATCGAACGTCGAGCTTTCTGCATCGAACCATGGCAGACACTGGTTGGAAGCAAGATGAATAGGGAGAGGGATCAAGGGTCACTGACCTGTCCTTGCTCTCCCTCAACGCCAGTCAGGTCCCTCCATTCCTCAATAGTCTGAGCGAGGTCAATGGTATTCATAGGAACTTTGACCTCACCGATCTGGTCGTGCTTGGAAAAGCGGTCAAAGTCGAAGATGGCGAACACAAGCGTCTTGGTGGTGATCTCGGCGTATGGGACCTGGCAAAGTTAGGAGGCAAGTTGGATTACCTCACGATAGTTGGCGCCTTTCTCTCATGACGCTACACTCACAAGAATTTCTGCCTTAGAGTGCTGTAAACAGATCTAGTAGTTGACTCTTCATATTTGTTTGTTACGTTGACACGTTTATGGCAATGCGCAAACTCAGAAACAAGACACAGCTTCAGACTAATGCACTTGTTTGAGTTCTTTATCTCCTTCATTCGCGCTACCATGTTGTTATAATGAATACATACCAATTACCCCACCTATCAACTCTTCAAGAAACTAATCGAATGCATCAATACAAGTTTTGGAAGATGAGTAGAATGTATCATGTAGAAAAAAAAAACATGCACACAAATATATAGCAGTTATAGCTTATACTAGAAATACCATTTGGTCATACGTGGGCAAGATAAGTATACTGCTTCATCCAAGCACGATATTTTGCGCTTCAGAAATCTTCTAACGATTTAGACAAAACATGTTAAAAGATTATTAGAAGGTTTTCAGAGTTCTGTGTTGCTGGATCAATCGATTCTAAAACTGCACATCATGAAAGTGAACATTTATTTTGAAGCAGAAATATTAGAATACTGGTGCACTATTGTTACTTATTGATCTTTGTCTCATGTTACCGCACACATTCACATATATAAAATTCAGAGTGAATTTGTTTAAGAAATAGTCATAGACTGAGTCATAATCACTAAAAGCTTTCATTTTTTTAATGTCAAGCCCTCACAGTGGGCCGACTTCAAGTGGACAACTACTTCCATGGCATTCTGCTACATACGATGTATCCTGGAACAGATGGACCAGACTGCAAATTTTGCAAGTTGCCGAATTCACTCTTCCACATAGTCCAAGAACGAAATTCTCGAACCAACAGAGGTCCAATGGGAGGCACAGGTGACAAGCACCAATCTGAGGGACCAATTACAGATGGTGAACAGGGCCAGTGTATCCCCTGAAGCTCATGGCTACTCGGACTGAAGTGGTCGCACACGTCTATTTATAAACAACCCGATCAATCAAAATAAAATTTAATTCAATGAAATCCAATCTACACACCACCGTACAGATCACGTCTAGCAGCGCGATTATGCCGTTATTCCTCTAGGCAGACTAGGTTTTCGCATTTTGAGCCAGCTACCAACCTTGAAATTGAACGTCTCGTTGAAGACAGGATTGAGGGTTTTGCGGTGCACCTTGGTCTCGTATTTCTTCTTCTTGTCCGGGAGGAGGTAAACCTTGACGTACGGGTCGGACGTGCCGGACATGTCCAACCCAGGCAGGTCTTCTGCTTGGATCACAGTCACGGCAAGCTGTGCCGAAGGTAGCGGGAAGCACACGTCTGAGGTCTCAAACGTGATACCCGTCATCAAAGCGACTCACTCTTCAAAGTAAGGTAAGACCATCAAGAAGATATGTAGAGTTCAAAGCAAGTTTGTTTCAATAATTAGTGCTGAATACATGGTGTTTAAGAAACGTTTCCAACATTCTAAAAAATGTGCAAAATACGATAGCTGCTCATATTTGCTCATCTTCACAAACGCTTTTAGGTAGCGGTTCGCATATGATGATGGTTGAAGAAATCGATTGGGACAATAATTAGGTGAGAATAGTTGACTAAGAATTGAATTTCCTTCCCTAAAATTTATTTACTTTCATTATCAAAAAGAAAGGTAGCAACAAAACTACAAGGAAACAAGTAGAAAAGTTATACAGAGGTATATGTGACCAAGGCCGGCGATACTGTGGCTCTGCCAAGCTGAGAGGTGTCGTAAGTAGATTTGCTTCGTCTCTTTCTGTCAGCGAGGGTTGACTGTTTCGGATCGTGAAAGCTCTGTGAAACCGGATGAATTGCGTCATGGCTGGCACTAAGGCTTCCTGTACACTGACCTGCTAAAAACACGAGGAGGACCTTGAGCGAACCCCTTAGGAAAGCGGACGCATTGCTTAAGGACTCGCTGTTGCACTTTCGTACACTTTAGGCAAGTTGTAGCATGCGTGCGTGCGTGCGCCCTCTACAACAGCTCGGGCGAACTTCACGTATTCACCCATCACGGAACCGTTATTTGCTAGAGGCCCATAAGAGGACAAAAGTGACACTGCCCTAGAAAAAGTTGCACTGATCGTAACAAAATCTAAAAAAAAAAACAGACTGCTTCAGTGCTTGCAGTATGTGTATGCTTTGATGACCTCCCGAGAGAAACAAGATAAGAAAACGGAAACGCAGACTGAACAAGACATATGGTCCCCAGTGAAAGGGAAGCTCCCCACCCGGTCCGCCATTGCACTTACGTAACAAGACACGAAAGCGCGTGGGACCAATGATTGAAGCTCAACCGCGTTTCGCCATCGTTGGCGGTTTGGTGGGTGCCAAACGACACGCAACGTAATGGCCGGGGCCTGGTTGCGTAAGAATGGCACAGGCATTAGTATATCTGGTTCGCCTGATCATGGTCCCAAAGCCAACGACGGCAATTAGCGTTCGAGGCGATAATACAGACTGTTTTATTATCGACAGTTTCCTGGTGGCACGCCTGGCGAAGTGATAGATAGCGACAGTTACCAGTCTCCTGACGGCCATGTTATGATCCTCCGGACCATGAAGTTCGCAATATTAATCTTCGGAATTGTGGTACCATTACCAGGCTATGTGATTTGCGACGCTCGTCCACGCTCGGGACATCTGTCTAGGGCTGCAAAGAGACCAGGAAACACTGCTTCACAGGTAACGGCTAAGTGTTGAGCACACTCTCAAATACCTTCGCAAGATTTGACGCTACCTGACCAGTAGATGTGTGGCACTGTTAGTTGGGGCAAAGTTAGATCAGTACGACAATACAAAGCTCGATGTTTCTTTGAAAACTTTAAGACTGCGTGAGTTATGTAAGAAAGCAGTGCAATATGCGAACAATGTGTGTATTTCAACATCTTTGTACGTGCGTTATACAGTATTTTAAGACAAATTTCTTTCCTTCTTTCGTACTGGCGTAATTCGTAACAGCGTCATATAGGAGAAAGCATGCCTTTGGATCTTGTCTGTAGAGAAACACATGCGAGTCCGTATACCCTTTCGATTAAATAAATGCGACCGGCATATCCAAGACATTTCACTTGTGAACGTTTCCAGACGCAGAAACTTTCTGCGAAGTTCCGAAGCGAAGTTTTGGTGCTTGCGAATACAATGCTGATTCGGCTCAGCATTGCTTAACCGAGATCGCCGAATTTTCCGAGAAAAAAACCTCTGAATCAATAACGAAAAAAAAAACCCGCAAGCAAATATAAAAGGGAAAGAAATTAAACAAAGTAACGCCGAACAGTTCTGGCTGCATAATATAAAGACGTGTTTCTCCATAGCGATAGGTTGCTTCGTACCAGCGCCGCTTTTATCGGAAGCGGGGCTACAGTCAGCGAAGAGTTTCCATGGTTCCGGCTCTGCCCCAAAAGATAAAAATGCACTGCTATGCTCTCCTAAACTTTCGGGCGAAGCAACACCGGAAGTATCAAGCGGTGGTCCACTCTGAGAAGAGACGCCGAGACCAAAATCGGTAATCGAAGGCTTCGGCTATGCCTCACTCCGATCTATGCATTTATATCTCAAGAAAGTTCTCTCGTGGAGATGCGTGTACTGAGCGGGAATTCAGGAGAGGTTGCCAGTTTTATTCAGCACTTCACCAGTTCGCATCTTCAGCTTACCGCCCTTCGATATTACTAGATACTTTTGCTACCTTTTCTTTACGACAACCGATTGAAACTTTCGCCATGGCTTGATATCCCAACAAGTGTGTTCTTCCTCAAAGAACAAGCTCTGAGAGTCGATTGAAGAGTGAATTTGTGGAAGGTGTTCTAGCGAAAGTTTTGAAAGCATGAGCGTTTTAAGCCCCACTACTCTAAGTCGATTAATCTAGAGTTTTTACATAAAAGTAACTGATTAATATCACAGTTCGAAATTTACATCGTGCCAGTACTTGCACTATGCAAACCAAGTTAGAGGTGCTATCAAGTAGAAAATACCAGAAGAATTGAGAGGTAAAAATCAGTGCGTATACACTACAAACATGGCGTAAGAAAGAAGTACGCGCATGGTGTCCACTACACTTGCACCTTGCTCAGCGTGCCACTGGAGAAATGTGACGTCATGCTTACGTTGCTGGTGTTGAAGTCGTAATCCAGCTTGAACTGAAGCCTGCCCAGTTTTCTCCTCGGACTTTTTGCTCTCACCGTCACCCTCATTGTTTTCCATGTTGTCCTGTAGTTCCTCCATGTCCGGCTGGACCTGCAAGATCATTCATTCACTGAATAATGAATAGGCTGACGAACGTAAGTTAACTTCGTATTCGAACTCCAATGGTATTCCTTATGAGTAAGCAGCTGCCGTCAAAAGGCGATCAAACCCACTACTTCACGTTCAAGGTCAGAATAACAACGACGCAGTAACACTAAGGCAGTATCCACGCGCAATTTGTACGTGCTCAAAACCAGCTGGCTTTGTCTCCAAGAAAAGATCAAGGCACACGCTGAGGGTGGTTGCCATGTCCCACCATGTTTACTCACATTTTTCCAGCGCTAGCTAGCACTTGACAGTAAGGGATCTGTTGAATAATGTTGCATGAATCATGGATAATCATGGCTGAGGCCGGTTGTACGATTCCCACTGTTTGACAGCGTTTTCTGATTGTCTGCCACAGTTGACCAGAACCGCCGTAAGACGGCTGACGGTGTCTGATACCGGCTAATTATGACAAGCTACCTAAATGGCGAATGTCCTGGAAGGGCCTGCGTCAAGAAACCAGGCAAGTCGGATCACGTGACGGACAATAACGCCATGGCTTGCTTGCTTGGCTGCATTCATCGTCGTCTGGTGTTGGTGATTACAGTCTAAACATCTCTTGATGTTGGATAGTTCTGACTCATACCGCTTTTCATAGCCGACTAGAGCTGTCAATGAATGAAACTGAATTTATTCTGCAACGAACGACTTGATTGAAGAAGGCGACCGCACAAAAATGATCTGAGTATAACATTGAGGAAAGCTTGGTCATATTGTACTCATCGAGGCTTTGTAGCGGTTAAAACATAATGAAATGCAGAAATGCATTGTAGATATGTTGCAGCGCACTCTGCAACGCGTTTAAGTGTACTGCGAAACACTACAACCACGGTCAAAATTTATTACAGAACCACAGTGGGCAAAGTTTCTGTCTCTTTGAAAAGAAAAGCAAAAAGAAAACAAGACATAGACACGAAGGCGTGAAGAATGAACGTCATACGACAACGACAGCATTTTTGTAAATATACATGAAAAATTTTTTTGAACACGAAAGAAATACAGAAGGTCATTTGTGGATTTTATTTAAAAGTGCCGACAACAGAAACTGTCGCAGTTGGTAGCGTTCAACATCGCCCAATACTGGCTATGTATGGCCATGGTCTTTTAATAATTAAAGGATCATGATATGGCCAAATAATTTCTAATACTGGATATAGCGTCGGCTTGTGCTCATTATATGGTGAGCCAGTGCTGATATACAATCGGGTGAAATGATTGCAAGCGTTGGTTGATTTCGCGTGTACACTGTTAGAATAGCTGCATTGCCTTCATTCAATGTTATTCGAATGCGGCCGTTGTTTATGCGTAGGAAACACCCTGCTCTGCTTTTTAAGTTATACCTGATGTTTTCTAATGCGAAATTCATCGGGGTCCATTTCAAGGGCGTTGCATTTTCTATATTCGGTGCCGGCTGACATAATAGGCAATGCTTACACATCACTTCACAGTCGCCAGCCACGGCTCAGTGACAGGCAACAGCAAAAAAATAATTAAAAAATCGTATATAAAGAACACATAACAGTAAAAAGAACTAAACACGTCCGAAGGTCTATGCACGTTTTCCTGTCTTTCTTCTGCAGCACAGCTGTGTCGAGAACAGAATCGAATGCGTTGCGGAATGGCGACAGCTGCCTTCGCGGTACGACCAAACAATGCACACGGTATAGTGAATGTGGGCATTTTATACTTATTTATTTTCTTCGCTGACATATATGACATATTTCAGCAGTGGGTGTGTGTGTGTGTGTTTGGCGGGCGTCCTTACAGAGCTCGCGTGCCGGCATTTGTAGGTGAGCTTATAGAGAAGGGAATACAGACTGCGCAGCTTGGTGAAACGAACGGACGTAAACGGATAAGGCCGAGCGAAAGAAATATCTAGTCACCACGGGGATATGGCTGCCTGGAAACGCAGAGACATCTATAAGGAAGATTAGTACATCAAGCAAGAGTGTCAGAGAAAGAGAGAGAGAAAGAGACAAAGAGCGAGAAAGAGCACATATAAAAGTTCTTATAAAACTGCCTCTGAATGACCTCACTATGGTAAAGATGAGTTGTCGATTGCACAATACATAGACCACTGAATGGACGGACCGTTCCACCGTTCCCTGCTGGAAATTATACGTGGAGCAAATTTGACGTTTGTTCTTGATAAAGCTAGTTACTATGTCTAATGACAGGCTTTCAAATTGAAATCCAAAAAAAACTTCTTAATTGTTGGGTTTATAATTCGTATCTCATCAGATCTCACCATTACTAGACGGGTTCGAAAAATTATGACTTGCAAACCCCTACATTGTTTACAGGGTGACCTTTTCATATGGATACCATTCACTTTATTACGCTTATAAGTAAACTAGCATGACACTAAAGAAAACCATGTGGTAGCAATTTTTTTCCTGCCTGTGTTCTTTGCAAGCAAAGCACTTGATTGTACAAACCGAAAAAACGCCTGAATAATAACATGGACGAACTGCACTACCACGAGGTGCATATGCAGGAAGACCACATGCAAAGCCGGTGCACACTGCTCAGACAGACTACGCGTCTGCTGGTTTTGTAGTAAACGTTTACAATAGCCCAAACGCTTCAACGTTGCAGAGTGCAGTCGTCATGACCTTGACATTGTGAACATTGTAGAGGTTTCAAGGACGCTACGTAGTAGATGCTGGATGATTCACAACAAAGTTTATGCAATGTCTCGCAGGCTGTCACTGTGGCTTCTACACAGTTTGCGATGAGCAGAAAGCTTGCACACGGCGCCAAATATTGCTCGGTTCTGATTGGTCGTGTTTACACGTAGAAATACGAATACGTTAACCTATAAAACAGCTTAGGGTTGGTTCAAACGTTGAGCTGCTTCCGCAACGTTCAACTGACGTTCGTACCAGTTATGTCGTTGCGATTAAATACTGTGTTTTTAAAAGTAATGCTTTACTGATTTTCAGAACGCTTTGCTTACACGTTGTGTGAATTGAACATAAAATTCAGCGAGGTAATAAAAATGAACAAACTTTTTTTGAGCTACATAGCAGCGCCAGCGCAGTAAAATCTGCGAGGTGGGTTCTAGCCAACTAATCGGACAAAAACAGAAAGAACAGACATGGCTCGACTAGCAACTGAACCTGCAGTGGGTCGCCTGTGTTTAAGTGCTGGTCCAAGTATTAGACAAATAAATGTAGGGGTTTAACGTTCTTAAACCTTGATCGAATTAGGAAAGACGTCGTAGTGGAAGGATGCGGAAATTCAGAAAACCTGGGGTTATTTAATGAACACTTAAATCTAAGTGCACAGGCCTCAATCATTTTCGCCTCTACCGAAAACGCGGTCGCCAGGACCGGGATTAAATTCCGCGCCTTTCGGATCAGCTCTCGAGCATCGTAACCAGTGGATCACCGTGGAAGATGTCTCAGTAACCAGCTGAAACTCTTCTCAAGATGTGCGACCAAAGAGCTCAGGCAAGAACAGTTTTCAAGCAAAATTTCCTTACACAAGCGGTTTGTGCACTTGAGCATTCCGTCTCTAATCCTTTACTTTTCTCTCTCACTTTCTTGTTGTAGTCTTTAGGTAGAACCACTCACCTTCTCCTTGTAGGCATTGCCTAGTAGCTGGACACCCTTGAGGTCCACGGCGCCCTTGAGTCCCTTCTTGGCGTCCTTCTTGCGCCGGCGACACCAGCGCCGCAGGCAGCAGAAGCAAATGCAGAGCAGCAGCAGCGCCACTGCGATCAGGATCATCACGATGCCCCATAGAGGAACTGCGAATCGAAAGACGAGATGGCTTCTAGACAAAATCCTAGAGACATGCAGGCACACATTGTAACCAGGGTCGTACAAAGCGATCCTTCGTGGCTTCGCTTATATATTTATACCTTAAGACATGGTAAAATATAAATACTTGGTTGTGTGTTCGGCTTCGCCCTTTGTCCTTTGCGCTCCAGGATCCACATAATGGCAACATTTCAATTAAACAATGCACGTAATATTTCCGTGTTGTTCTCGCTTAACTCTAGGTTGTAGTTCACATGAGTTTGGTTGAGAAGAAAAAAAAATTACAGCATATCCATGGAGTGAATGATGATGAGTGGGGCGGAGCGTCCGTGCATCCGTCTTTCCGTCCGTGCGTCCGTACTCTTGTCCATCTGTCCATCCGTGCGTCGTGCATCCATCCGTTCATGCGTCCATCCGTCCGTCCGTACGTCTGTTCATCCATCTGTCTGCCTGTCCGTCCATCCGTGCGTCCATACATCTGTCTTTCTGTCTGTCCGTCCGTTCGTCCATCCATCCGTCCATCTTGTGAACACTTCAAGTACCGCCATCTCCCATCTGTTCATCATATATTCATTATACATTCAGCATATACAAGTACCGCCATCCAGCGGACATTCCAAGGACTAACGAGAGGTGGATACTACGGCGACATGGGACGTACGACCCACGGCGTGAGGAGCTTCGTCCCTAAAAGAAGCCCCTCCATTCATTGACATTGCTTCTCATTCACTTCAAAGCGATTGTCTCAATCCGGCAAGTTTTACGATTTCATCACCAGCATCATAAGTTTAACTACGCCCACAGCAGGGCAAAAGCCTCTCTCTTGTTGCACCAATAAAACAGGTCCTGTGTTTTCTGCTGTCACGTTATACCTGAAAACTTTTCAAACCTCATCTGCCCACCTTATTTTATTTAATGTTCCACGAAATTTGCTGAAACGTATATGACGCCCTTTTCCACTAAGGGGAAGCTTTCGAAACTCAGAAAAAGTAGCATGGGAAAATTCACTGGTAAGTTGCCAGCTTCTGAAAGATGACGTATTGCGTGACGCACCCTATACTTTAAAAAAGAATGTTTTATAAACGCTGCCATGGCCGCCAGGACGATGGCTAACGGCAGCGTGTCGTATTTTCACGACTTTATTTCCTTTTTTCCTTATACAACAATCTCTGCTTCTCGATAAAACTCCTGCACCAACACGCTTTTCTCGGGTTCAGTAGTATTATTGCTCTCCCCTTCAGTATCTCCACATGATCTATAGAAAATCAAATATTCTCATAGTGCTCGGTGTCTGTACCTGCTTCAGTGAATCGAACGAATCAGAAGGCAAGCGAACGCCCCGCGAGCCCGTCAACTTGAAAGATAGCAAACACAATGATGTGGCAAAAACTAAATTGAAGTATCTATGACGACGCAGTTATGATTGCTTCTACGCTCGTGTTAGAAACTCCTAGAAAAAACCCCCCACTCATTGTATTGGATTAAAACCTCCTTGCCTTGTATATTGTACTTCTTACAAAAAAAAAAAGAAGCAGTACAAGGTGGCCTGGGGTATACACCATTGCTTCTCAGCGCCATCATTCATCATCTCGCTGCCTCCCTCAATTCGAGCATGCAGTGACTAGCTAGTGTGTTGTGGTCTTTTCATCAGACGTTCCGTGTATTTTCCTTAAGCTTACGGGGCTCGCTTTTCCTCCGCTGTTTTCAAAGGAGACAAAGAAGCGAAGTAATAGGAGAGCGCACCCTGCAAGGCATCGTCGGTCAGCGCTGTCAACCTGTCAGGATGAACAAATTGATGAACCCAGGCGGCACTGCCCGCCGTGTTTGCTTTCGGCTAGGATTTTATATACCGCATATAAGAAGGCCGGCGAGAACTGTGCCATCGACTCGCTAGCAGAAGCGATGCGTGTCTCGTGCTTTCTCCCGTGGCATGTAACAGTGTACGCATTGAAAAAAAAAAAGGAAACGGTGCTATGCGTCGCACAATTGGTGCGCATGATATACGGACAACGCGAAGCGCTGAAGAATGGTATTCTCATGTAGGCCTCGCATCAGAGAATAGAATTTTCAGCGCTGCACTGTAAAAACTGTCCTTCAGAGGTACGGCAAAGATCGACGTAAAGCTCAGGAGTGCCTCTCAGTTCGTGGGAAGGAGAAAATGGCCGTGAATGCCAAAGGACGTAATGCTGTTATTGCAGGTACGGAAACAATGTTCTTCTTCAGTGGACCTTAAAGAAAAAGTCTACAAGTTGGCTGCTCTGATTAGTTATTTTATAGCCGAAATGCCACTACCAGGCCACTTTTTTGGGGGCACGATGTGTTGACAGAGAGACTGGGAGCGTGTAACTATCATACGTTTTTTCATAGTTCCTCTTTAATCTTTTTTACTGTGTGGTAGGTAGAAAAAAAATGGACGGATCTCCTAGCGTGTAAAGACCACCATTGTTAGTTATGAAGTCTTACGTACTCGTTCAAGTGCCTCGCCACACGAAGAGTGCTGTCACTAGTCTGTTGTCTACATAGAATGTGGGGCTAGGTGGTACTCGATCGCGGAACATTATTAGGGCATCTTTCCTGCCTGTACACTTCCTTCCATTTGCAGCGTCTTTCCCTTTTATTTCTTCATTTCACTTTTTTCGATGGAAACCATCATAATGCGGGACATAGTTCACATAACTGTATTACCTGGTGATCTTCGTAAAGATTTAGTTCTTGAATATGCTACATCAGCCTATGCAGTCTTCATTCAATTAGTTCGTAATATCATGGTCATAGTGGATGTCTATGGTACAAAAATAAGAACTTCATTCTTGTGTGAAATACGAACTCTAATATATGGACGCCTCTCTCAGAAATACTGGTGGATAATTTTTTTAGCACCACACTCATGCCACCAAAGTAAATGTTGTTGCTACCCACAAAAACAACAAAAGGAGAACGTTTTGGCATAATTTTAAGACATATATTGCGAAATGAAAGCAGGCATGACGTCCTTATTCGAAAGATTCAAGAGAGAAGTTGACAGAGGCAAGAAACACATGTTACGTATTCCCGTTGCTATGACGACACACGTGAAAAGGAAGTTGAGGTTGGCCGAGTTTTAAGGTCAAACGTTTGCACAACGTTGCTTACTGGGTTTGTACCAGAGACAGACAACTATCTATTACTCTGAAAGTGAATGTGACGGCTCCACTTTTGTCCCGTAATATTTTACTTCCGGATACATTGTATTTAAGCGTTTCCTTTAGCTTCATCTATGCCAGGGTTCCGGATGCTGCGAGCGAATCAGACAAGGAGGAACTCGCTTAACAATTCACTGCAGTATGGAAATCAAACCTACTTCTAAGACAAATTGTTTGTTTGTTTGTTTGTTTGTATCCTTTAATCCATAAGACAAATGATTCGCGATCACATCTTCTTCTCTAAGGAAATTCCCGTGCATGCGGTGAATAACGATGTTCCAGATACTAGCCCCAAACTTTTCTGTTTTATAGCAGCTGCACCGCAACTACACTAAAAAACCTCGTAACCAAAACGTCCAAGGAACGTTTCGTAGCCAAAGCAAAGAAAGAATACCGCACTCTTTCCATACTATGGTTGCGACGCCCCCTTCTTTTTTTTTTCCTGTAACTACCAGGCCAAACGCATGGCGCACGTACTACACCGGATCGTGCAGTGCAGCAAAGCCTAGTATCCGTGTCCCGCCAGTCAGACACTAACGGCAGCCAAGTGGGGAAGAGATTGAGTGAGCACTGATCGCCTATTTTACGGTAATAACATAAACTTCGCGCATCCATCCATCCATCCATCCATCCATCCATCCATCCATCCATCCATCCATCCATCCATCCATCCATCCATCCATCCATCCATTCATCCGTCCGTCCGTCCGTCCGTCCGTCCGTCCCCGTCCGTCCGTCCTATCTATCTATCTATCTATCTATCTATCTATCTATCTATCTATCTATCTATCTATCTATCTATCTATCTATCTATCTATCTATCTATCTATCTATCTATCTATCTATCTATCTATCTATCTATCTATCTATCTATCTATCTATCTATCTATCTATCTATCTATCTATCTATCTATCTATCTATCTATCTATCTATCTATCTATCTATCTATCTATCTATCTATCTATCTATCTATCTATCTATCTATCTATCTATCTATCTATCTATCCGCCCGCGCACGCGCGCGCGAACACACACACACACACACACACGCGCGCGCGCGCGCGCACGCACGCACGCACACAATCTATGCTTTGTTTTGCATGCGCACAAGTGCCCACAAAAAGCAATAAGCCTTTTCATCTGTCAGCCCCCGTTTCTCCCAGGGTTGGCCACACCTACACTGCAATACCCGTTCACAAGAGGCGATCGATGGAATCCCGAAAGGAGCCCTCGACGCTGCACGACGGGCTGCCAGCAGAGAAGCAAGAAAGCAAAGCCAACGAGACACCATGCGGCGTTCTTCCAACACCCGAGGGCTGAGGAGGGAAGTTGCTGCACCTCACGTCATAGACGGGTCCAATGGGGCATTAGATTTCGACGTGTGTGGGTCGCGGATGCCATCACGACAACGGGTGTTTCCGCAGAGAGAGTATTGAATGTCAGAAGCGGCGGGCGCACGCGACGCAACTCGGCCGCATATACTGAAAGCTGGCTGCTTTCGATGCAAAGCCTGTCTGCCCCCTTTCGCTCGGTTTGGCGTCGATAGACAAATGCGGAGAGGTTTGGAGGAAAACATTCCATTGTAGCTTGCTTCCTTTTCTCTATTTTTTGATGAAGAAGGAGTTGGAGGAACTTACCAATATTTGTCTCAGGCTGTCCCACTCTCCTTGGGATTTAATGAAATTTCGAAGTTTGGTGTGCAGAAACTAAATAGCTGTTAACTACCTTGGCGCAAGTAGGTTCAGTTTTTTAAATTGAACATACGGAATAATAATAAAACCTCACCTGACTTCACAAAACCACT